TTTCCATTATTATTTTTAGTATTTTCTTAAATAACTTCAATGTGAAAATGCTTTCAAAATGGTTATGTGTATTTTATACATTCAATGTGAGTTAATATTAGCACAATAAGACATACATGCCAATTCTTTGTTAGTTTTATTTTTTCTAAGAACATGGTTTACATGTTGGAATTACATGTTTTTGCATTTCATTTGCAACCAGAAATTGCCCTAATGTGGGCTGGGCAGAAAGTTTTGTAGCATGTAATTGGGTGACACAAATCGATTTTAAAAAGCAACAGTATATATTCTGTTTCCTCTTTACATAGATGATAGGATTATGGATGTATTCAAACTCATAAAATTTAACACATCCCACCTATAATTTTCATGGTTCAGTAAGACAGACTTTAACTTTTGGTTGGAGTCTACTAAGCAAGTATAAAAGATTGAAGTCTAAAGTCAGTGATTGTGGAAGCCACAGCCTTACAATGTGTAATTAAATTTGCATTGAATATAAGTAAATTTCCTTTTTAGAAAACATGTTCATTTAAACTCAGCCAACACTTATGGAGCATTGTGCTATGGAGTTTGATCAATAATCACCTATGGAACTGTTGCAGTAATACTGGTGGAGAGTTGAGAGTTGAACCTCGGCAATGACAGTGGAGAGGGGTATCCCAAATGAAAGACATTAAGAATGGTGAGTGGCTGGGTTTGTGGATTGAGGGCACAAGGAGCATTTAGGGTAACGTGAAGGTTTTTAACTTCAGCACTCAGTGAGCAATGACACTATTAAACAAGATGGGAAATAGGACGCAAGCATGAGAACAATACAGCTCAGTTTTGCACCTTTTGAATTGGAGACGTCTATAGGATATTCATGTAGAAATGAATACAAAACATTTGTATGTCCTTGTGAAGACGTTACTGAGAGGGCGCTGTTGTTTTCTTCCTGAAGTTCGGGGCCATGGGACAACACAGTCCTACGCTGTGTGATAATAGCAGTAGTGGCTTTGCTTTGACCCCTGTAACACAGGTAAAACTTAAAACTTAGCACCTAATTGCATTTTATCTTACATCACATTCAAAATGTTCTGTCACTCATCTCACCTTGTGACTCTAAACGTTAGAGCTGAGGTGATGTTTCGTGCCGTTGTAACAGGCTCAGTGGTGCCGTTGACGCCCTTCTGGGACCTCAGTGGTCACGACCCGCACGGAGGCCCAGGGTTTGTATCTCCCGGTGAGGCTGGTGATGCTGTGGTAGTAAGTGTGCCATGGGGCTGCTGTCGTTCATTCTCGCATCCGTTCACTCCCTGCTAACTGCACAGGGACCGCTGTGTCTACGGTATTCTTACTTTAAAGTGGGCATGAGGCAGTTGGGTTGCTTTGTTTCTGGAAGTAGATACCATGATAAAATCTTACCACAAAACCTTTTCATTTCCTTTCCAGAGACATAGTTGTTTTAAATATATAAAAATTACTTATTTGATTTCTTGAAACCTTACCTTCACTTCTGCTAGACAGGAAGGTGTTAAGAGCAGCAAAAAAAGTGAAAGAATTAAGAAGGTAAACAAATTCAGTATGAACTATCTTAAGATACTACCATGCATTGCTCACTCCCGCAGGGAATTCTCGCTAGACCTGTGCTGACAGATCTGCCCAGCAGTTTTGTTAACTGCTGTCTTGCCTGTTTTCATTTGTTGCCCACTGAACTTAGAGCTGTGGCAAGCTAATTGATTGAATGTGGGAATTAAGAGCAAGGTCTACCTTGCCCCCTGGTGTCTGTGTGAAGCAGGCTAAGCTGCAAGGCTCTCTATGTCTCCATTTCTTGCTCTGTAAGTGGGGAGAAGAGCACCACGTCACCACCTCGTAAGACTGTTCTATTAAAGGTACACTGTTTAGCACAGTAGCTGGCATATGGTATTAGGCAATAAACATTAGCAATAATATTGTAGAGTTATTGTGAATCTTAACAGTACTCTGTTATCCTGGAAATGCTGGGTAACTTACCAGGAAAATAACACTTATTTTTGAAATTTCATTTTTACTTATTAAATGTAAATATGTATTTGTTGAGTGTTCCTATTTTACTTTTAGTTTTGAAACATTGTTTCTCTGTCTTGAGATTTTTCACAATCCAACATGTGTATGTAACTTTTCTATCTTTCCTTGGACATTGATTTCTGCTGTTATAAAAGGAGATATCCTGACTTCATACTTACTGCAAATAACTTCTCCCCTGCCTTTTTTGTTCCCCTCACTCTATCACGCCCAGTTAACCTTTAAGAAACCCCTTGGGATAGTGTGCAGGGTGCACAAAACGAGAGAGTAAAAAGACAAAGCCTTCAATATTCCAGTAGGGGGAGATATTGCCAAAATAATCAAGCCACATGATATGCAGGTGCATTGGGCAGCACATTTAAAAACAAAGCTTTCTCTGTGTAAAAAAATCTAACTAATAAAGAATTAACTAACTATAAGATGAGTAACACTGAGGTTTCTATTTACTAGTTGCCAAACCCTAACCTACAAGTACCTAGGGAAGTGCTGTGACTACACACACCCTTACCACATTACTTCCTCACATGTTTCAGAGATGGAAGTAAAGAAAAGATCATTGATAGATATCTCTCTTGCTCTGTGTCTCTTAATTTGTAAAGATCACAAGTAATGGAAGTTCCAGGCTGGATTATTTGAAAACAAAGCACAGAAGCTATCATTTCATAAACCAGAAAGATTTTTTTCATGGCATTCTAAACCAGCTTGGACAAACTGGTATAGCCTTAAATGACATAAACTAATGGACTGAACCAGAAAATGCTCCTCTTTTAAAAAGCAAACTTTGTTAAAAAGATACATCTATAATTTAGAACTCTAAATTTCTGAAATTACTGGAAGGCCTATAATTAAAAGCAAATTAACATTTAAATCAGCTTGGATTGGGTTTTTTTTTTTCAAGTATTTTCAGTGGGATAGGTAAGTTGGTTTGAACCTTTACTTTTCCAACAGAAACATCACATTTCTTTCTGTTGGCAACATTGTCCAATAACTGACTACTCTAACAGTCCCTCTGCACTTTAAGACTTAATACTCTTATTTTATCACACTCTAAGAAATTGCTGCCTTGAAACTTGGGGATGTTGAGACTGCCCTTAAACCTGAGAGTCTTACTTAATAGTTGACTGAGTTTTCCCCTCTGTATCATGCCTAAATATTTTGATGTGGATTTTATTACTTTTGGCTGCATTAGTAAACTCAGTTTGTAAAATGTCCAAAGAACTTTCTATAATATATAGACTATATCTTTAATAAATTTACTGTAGTAATTTTGTAGTTTAAATTTCCATTAGTTGATGTGGAAATAGAAGTTACACATCTCTGCTGATTTAATTACTACCAATTTATTTGGTAAATACTACCACCAACAGCTTACTAGATATTAGCTTTAAAAAGATACCATCTCAAACATGTAGACTTATTTAGAATTCTACAAGCCTACATCAGTTTTGTTTTTAATTTTTGCCAGCGGTGACGTTATTCTTTGTGTTTAAGTGGATTTTTGGAAGTAACTATGTAGGATGAGTTATGCTGGCATGGACTTTCTAGCATATAGTGTCGTTTTTTTTGGTAAAACCAGAGTTGTTTCATGGATTGGTCCATTTTGTGAGGTGGACACTTTGAATACTTCACTTAACCACTGGATTTGTGGTTTCTTTAAATTATTAAAAACAATTTTCAATGAACAGACTTAATTATAAGTAGACTGCTCTATCTGAAGAGTTTCTTCAAACCCCTACAAAGTGTTGGAGTGCCTTTTTTTTTTTACCTTCATAAGTAAGTTAACGTGGATTAAAAATAGCCATAGAGAAATGAGATTGAACAAAGAAAAATCAAATCTGTCAGTGTGCCTGAGTGTTTCCATTAGAATAGGCGAGATTATGCTGCAGTAATCAGCCTAAAAACTCAGTGACTAAAACCCAAGTTGTTTACTTTTGTACAGGCTGCGTGTCCATTGTAGTCTGACAGCACGATGGCCTTGTCGTGGACACGGGGTCACTCAGGTTCCATCCTGACCATCCTGTAGTGATTTTAGTTCTGGGAAAAGAAAACCTAAGTGAACCTTCTGATTCTCTGAAAACTTCTGCTTGAAAATGGCATAGTTCAGCTCGGCAAGGTGTGGCCACAGTGAGTTCAACAGGATGAATGATCCTCACACAGGAAGGGGCACCAGATGATTGTAAACGGTGTGATAGGCCACAATAGTCTTCCAAATGAGTGAGCATTTGGAATCTATTGGTAGTGTCTCTGCAAAACTACAGAATGTCTGGTTTAAAACTGACCATGGGAAGAAAGTGAGCTGTTCTTTACCTGATCATAATATGATTAGTTTTGAACTCGTATTGACAGTGTGTTGAGTATGCATGCACACGCACATGCGCACACACAATTTTGTATGGTCTAAATGATGCAGGAACTGTTTCACAGTAACGTTTATACCACTGGGGCTATTGCCATTGTTCCACAGACAGCCTAGACAGGGAGTAATGGTGTTGTGTGGGCTGAACTCTATTAAGTTCACAGTTGTAGGTCAGCCAGGACTATTCATAAATTTCATGACCACATTATAGTTAGCAGGGTTTTTAACTCCTTTGTTTTTCTTTCCCTCCCTCCCTTCCTTCCTCCCTCCTTCCCTCCTTTTCTATCCTGTCCTGTCCTTTTTTTATCTTTCTCTTTTTTTGGCTCTTGGAATGGAAAAAAGGGGCTGAATTATAATCTGGAGTTTAAATTATAATTGTATGCAGCATTAAGAGAAAACTGGGTAGCTCCAAATAGCTAACAGTTTAAGTCACAAATATAGTGGAACCATTAGAGATACTTTCAAAATTCACACCAAAATGAAAATATTGTAGTTTTTTATAAAAATCTAATGTTCTTCATTTATTTTTTTAAATCTCACATAGATTAGCTATTAATTAATTCTTGCTAACATTTCACTTCTTATCCTGATTTCTTTTTAGATCTTACCAGTTTTCCCAAAATATTTTGTGAAACTTCCCAGAAGCTGGTGAATATTGAAACCTTTGCTATAGCTGTGAAGTATTATTCTGTGCAAAACTTGGGACTATGTACTCCTTTTGAACAGTTACTAGTAGCCCTTCGAGGAAATCAAAAACAGAGAACTGGTAGGTGTGTTTGTATGTATAGATGTTTATTTTTTTTGGTACTTAGAAGTAGTATATTGTTTATATATATATGTGTGTGTGTGTATGTGTATGTGTGTGTAGGTATCATATATGTGTAAGATATATATATATATGTATATGTGTGTATATATGTATATATATATATGTGTGTGTGTGTGTGTGTATTTCCAACATGTTCTTAATTTATTGTCAGACCTTAAACCATGAACACTGACAGACTGGCTTGTTCCTAAATGATTTAGATTTACTCATGCACCATATTAAACAGAACAGCTTAGTTACAAATCTCCACCGTTTTCCCTATGTTATAGTCTAGTTTATAAGTCTTTTCCTTTATGGTTAATTGTTCTTTGTGTCATAGGAACATTTTTAATAAAGTTTTATGGGTCTTCTTATTTATTTTGTTCATTCAAATTTTGATCCATAGCAGCTAAACTAATAGAGATCTATCATGGAGACACAATAGATTCTATTATTCTTATATTTACTTAGAGAAAACATGAACATGAGCTGATGATTCTTATTAAATTTTTATTCTTTAATAACAGTATTTTAATTTTGTTTTATTTTTGTTCAGATGGAAATGTGAAGCCAGATGAGTTTATGAATTTGAAAAAATCTCATGAAGTTCAGGCAATGTCAGAACTAATCAGCAGCATTGCTGATTACTTTGGAATAAAGCAGGTAACAATAGTTTCCTGTTTTCAGGTGTTAAAATTATTGCTATTTTTTGTATCATTTAAATTTCCTTTTGTACCATTGTTGTCTAGTCTTGAAAGCTGATGTAAGATAGGTCAGACCCTTTGAACATGCACTCTTTTCCTAATACGCTGTAATTATGACAAGTTTATGCTAAAAACAAGATGCACCTATTAATATTTGCCACAGACATCACTCTTTTCAGAGTTGATAGGCATCCAGATAATCTCTTAGATACACTGTAACTCCAGCTTCAGGCTGTATTAGGAAGGCGACATTCCATACAATCCTTTGCCTCTGGGTCTTCTCAGGACCTACGTTAGTAAACTGTGGTCTGGGGCACCTGCTTCATTATAGTAACATGAAGAGACTACATCCTAGAACTTGGATTCTTCCGTAAGTGTCAGAATCACAGTGTAAAAAAATAGCGTTTGTAGCTGTGATATCTGGAAACAAAATAAAGTCAAAGATTGCTTACAAAGGCTTACAAAAGCAGTTATGTTTATTACCCACCAACAAGAACACCTATGGAGGATTTTCCCTCCTGCTGTATTTATTAGGTGTTAAAATCTTTCCACAGATTCTTCCAGACTTGTGGAGAGGTTAAAAACTGTTCCAGCTTGGGCTGGGCATGTGGAGATCCTTTCATGTATAGATCCTACATAACCTCTGTTAAATTTATTCCTAGGTATTCTATTGTTATGCTATTTTAATTCACTGGTCCTAAATTTTATCTTCAAATTGTTTTTTGCTACTATATTTTATATATTCTGATGGTTCATTATTAATTTCTAATGATCCTGTATCCTGACACATTGCTTAATTATCTTACTAGTTCTGTTAACATTTTTGTGTATTCCTCATGATTTTCTGCAGACACAATTATATCATCTGTGACGACAGAGAGTTTTATTCCCATCATCCATGTGTTTTGCATCTTTTCCTTGACTTATTACACTACCTAGAACCTCTTTTACAATGTTAAATAAAAATGGTGAGAGTGCTCTTTTTTTAACAGGAATCAAAAAATTAGAATTAAAGACAAACGTAACATGTTGTATAAATCATACAACCATTTGTTTTTTAAAAAGAGATCAAGGATGTTTTCTGTTATCATCTGACTGAAATCCACTAGTCATTCTGTTTTTCTTATTTTAGGTAATTGACCTGGGTTCTGGAAAAGGCTACCTCAGCTCCTTTTTGTCCTTGAAGTATGGCTTAAACGTCTATGGAATTGATTCCTCAAATGCCAACACTCATGGAGCTGAGGAGAGAAACAGGAAATTGAAGAAACATTGGAAAGTCTGTCATACTCGGTCAAAATTAGATGTCAATGGACTGGCATTAAAAATGGCAAAAGAAAAGAAAGTACAAAATGAAAGTAAATATAAAGCAGATACTGGGGGACTATGTAACAGCAGTCCTACAAGTCAAGAAAAGATGTATTCCTCAGATTTTTCGCCAGATATTTCAGATGCTGTGATTTCTAACATCAGAAAACAAATGGAAAACCTGCATGTTTACTCACATCAAGAAGAAAATTTGTGTTTTGAAAATGTCTCTTCTCTCATAGACCTTTTACCTGTTAATGCCATAGAACCTACTTCTTCATTCCAAATTCCCAAGAGAAAAAAGTCTGAAGCAAATAGAGAGAGAAGAAAAATGACATCAACGTCAAGTGAATCAAATATATATTCACCTTTAACATCTTTTATCACTGCCGATTCAGAACTTCATGATATCATTAAGGATCTGGAGGTGATTTCATTTTTGAATTTCTTAATTTGATTTATAAAAATGCTCAGAGACAGAATTAAATTTTAATAGTAGCATTCTTAACCTACTTATTTTCTTCGATTTCATTAATCTAAAGGACCAAGAAGATAAAATTATATGTAGGCTTTTGTGATTCCCATAGCTGTCAAAATCTGACAAGTGTACAAAATCTGACAATCTGACAATTACAGTTTTCCAGAGTAGAGTCCCCCCACTCACTGTAAGTCTCCTAAATCAAAGATAAGTACTAGCACAAAAGCTAGTAAGCTGAATTCTTACTATGTAATTAGAAACTGGTAAAATTCCAATCCAAGAAAACTTTTGTATTAGTATTTAAATTTAAAGTAAAGAGGTATCTAGAACAATGTTATGTTTAATGTTAGCCATGGTAACCAAATATGCAGTTCTTTCAGCAAGAGTTGCTACTGAGTAGTCTTAATTTTGAACTTTTTCTAAATCACAAGTGTATCAAATTATGTAATTGAAAGACAATGTATCTTAAACAAAGGCAACATTATATGTTAATGCAGTATTGGAGAGGAACTTCTAGAAATCATTTAGCCTACCTCATTGTCTTAAAAAAAAACAAGGTAGCCTTAAAATTATAATATTCTTCTCTTTTTAAATTTTTCAGAAGTTTGTCCCTAGAGAAATGAATAAACAAAAGCTACCAGACTTCTTTATAAATTTGAATCCTTGTTTGATAGCTGATAGTGTTTTGTCATTTTCTCATTTTAGAATGGGGAATTTTTCTTTTACCAGGTATTTTGGATTTCACTAGGTAAGGGAAACTGGTTAATCCTCCTTGTTTTTCCTGTTCAAGAACAAAGTAATTAGGTTATACCTTCACTTTCTCTTAGGTTTAAATAACCCTCATTATTTTAACCTGACTTCAAAAAATGTAAGTTTTTAGAGCTTATTATCACATATTTATTTTTTCAAAATCTTGTTGAAAATACATGATCAAAGCTATGCAAACTTTTATAAGAAAATGTCTAAAGAAATATTCTGGAATAATGTTTCTTGGGTTCTGTAGTTAATGTACAATTTCATTACCAGAATTAACCAGTACCTCCCATTCTCTCCCCACCCCACAACACATACACACAATACTTAAGGATTTTACTATTAGGATATAATGGCAATTGCATATTTTTGTCTGCCACCTACTAATATTATTAATGGATTTTATATGATGAATACAGTAAGGAATGAGATTTTATATTCTTGTATTATCTTTAGGGAAAGCTAAGCTAAGCTTTAGAAGAGAGATTTATATATTTGTTGTTTACCATTAATTAGCAATAAATCCTTTCTTTCTGAATGCCTTTTTTAAATAACATTATAACATCTGAATAAAACCTAACTGAACTATTTGATCATTAAAGAAAGTAAAATAGTGCAATACTCCAAAAACTTTGCCTTGAAGAGAATGATGGTTGAAGCAAATGTATGTTCCATCAAGTCAAAGCTGCTTATAGGTACAATTTTTCTTTGGAAAGGTTAGGATTCATCTGTGCTTTATGTCTAGATTATAGGCTAAAGTCATATTTTGGTAAAATAACTCAAAACAATTGTATTTATTCTGAAGACATAAAAATATATTTGATTCACAACTTAATATGCCTATTATTTTAAATTTATGATAACATGATGATGATGATGTGGGGAAAATTGAAGTTCCTATGGCCAGGATCCTCACCTGACCCTAAACTATTTGATGATGTAATTGGCGTCCTGCTAGGCTGCTGCTTCCACACCCATAGGCAATAAGCTACTATTGACTAAGTCACTATATGTATAGAGCTCTGCCCAGTGCTCTGGGAGGAGCTCTCTATATAATACAAATTTTACATAAAGGAGGACGATTAGAGACCTGCAGGCTGCTGGATGCAGTAATTCTAGTGCTTGACCTACTGCCATGAGAATAAAGCCAAGTATAAACCCTCTTACCCCTAGAACGTTTAGTCCCGTTGTCATTTTTCAGTCTCACTGAATCCATAGTGAACTTGCCCAGAGCTGAAACCCTCAGGCATGACAGATGATAAGAAGAAAATAGTTGCTGAATTTTGTGTGCCAGACATTGTACTAAGTCACAAACCTGTATTAACTTATTTAAGTCTTGCAATAACGCATTGAGGTGAGGTACTATTATCCTCCTGTCTTGCCAGTGGGTTTCAGCCCCGGGCAAGTTCACTATGGATTCAGTGTGACCAAAGAAATGACAGTAAAACATTCTTGGGGTGAAATGGTTATACTCAACTTTATTTCCATGGTGGCAGGTCAATCACTAAAATCCCATCCACTCAGAGCGAGTCTGCACACAGCAAGCCGGTCTCTGCCTCTGGGCCTCTCAGCCTGCACAGCCGGCTTCTGGGCCTCTGTCCTTGGTGCTGCCACCACTCCAGCCTCTGCTCTCCTGGCAGCCTTGCAGCCATGCCACTGTGTTGCCCAGAGCACTGGGTAGAGCTCTGTATATAGAGTCAATAGTAACGTATTGCCCACATGTGTATAGTGAGCAAGCTGACCAGGGCTAGGGGAGAATCCTAACCACTTCATTTTATCCACACCTTTCTTTATAGATGAGGAAATTATGGCACTGAAGACTTTAACTTGGTATATCGATCAAGTTTCCATGAGTGTATGCATGTGTACCCATTTCATATGTATATACATTTAAATTAGGCTTTGGGTAATTATAAGAAACATAGGAGAATTTTGATGTAAAATTTGTATAACAAAATTTAAAACAACCTTTTTATTGAACTTAATATTGCAATATTTAATGTAATGAATGGACTAAGTATATTTTTTTTGGTGCTAGAGTAGAAATGCCAGCTTAGCAACACTTACTTGTTTTTTATAATATCTTACAAGTTTTGATGGGCAATGTGTGAAGAATGTTAAAAATTGCCTAATAAGGTGTAAGTGTGTCTCAAATCACAAGTTTGTCCTAGTAATGCTACATTTGGTCAGTCCAACCTTTACTTTGGCTAGTTGTTGAAGCAAATGCTGGTTGTAAAGGAGATCAGAGAAAACTTATATGGTTAAGTAACCAAAAACCACTGGAAAATCAACTCAAAATTATGTCAGTTGTGATATAAGATCACAGTTATTTTGTCTATAAAGTAATTAATTGTTTGTTATGAATATAAAAAGCATACACTACCTTCCAGGTAGAATATTTTATTTTAAAAAGGTCCACATACTCTAATGAACATTTAAAATCTTCACGTGAAATGTTTTTTTTTTAGCCCTCCTTTTAATTGTCAAAATTAATTTTTTCCTTCACATTTTTAAAGGACTGTTTGATGGTAGGTCTGCATACTTGCGGTGATCTTGCTCCTAGTACTCTGCGAATATTTGCTTCCAAGTCTGAGGCCAGGGGGCTTTGCAGCATAGGTTGCTGTTATCACCTCTTATCTGAAGAGTTTGAAACCCCACGTGAAGGTACGAAGTTCTCCATACCTCATACTCTATTATTTGAGCACAAGGGGTGCTTTCTCTCTCTCCCTGTTTTTTTTGTTGCTGAAATTATTGCTGTTTTGAATTAACATTTGGGAAAACATCTGATATTCTTCAGTTTTAATGTGACATTGAATGAAGTTTGATGCCTTGTCACTTTATGTATTTTTAGCAGTTTCTTTGGTCTTAAGATGGTCTTAATGAATGCTGAAAAACATAAATATTTGAAAGTCTTTCGTGGTGTATTTTAGGAACTTTTATTTTCATCATGAATATAGAGTTTCAAGATTTACTTTCATTTCCAAGCCTTTTCCATGTACTAAGGAGTATTGATATTTTTCAGACAAAAAGCTCCTTACTGTATTTTGAAGAGGCAAAGTACTGTAATTTTAGAAAGGTGCAAACTGCAGTTGCATTCAGACTTGCTCCCGGCCTGCGGATCAGGTGCCAGAAGAGCAAAGTACAGAGTATGTTGACAGGATTTAAAGAACCCCACAGCCCTTCATCCAGAACATCCCTGAAATTCCTCTGTTTGATCCATTTTATATGTTCTTTCTCTTCCTAAGGTATGGTTTCAAAACTGCTAGCTCAGATTTGATTGTTATTCAGTCTATTAATATTAGCAGTTCGCTTTTCTCTTAGTCTAACTACGTCTTTATTGCTGGATGCAGTCTGTGAGTCTGCCACATCCAGTGTCCATACTAAGAATTTTTAGATCAGGAAGCTGTGTGCATATGGATGGCATCGTTTGCTCTTTTTCTCAATTTTAAAACTCAGACGAATATGAAACTTTTGTTAATTTAGTCATGCCCAAGAGGTAAGAATTTTATGACTGTATAATTCTGCTGAAATTTGACTGGTCATCCTTAGAACTGGTGAAGGTTTTTGTGAAATAAAGGTAATCGAATTTGAATTCTTTTATGTCAAAGTTTTCAAAAGTATCCTTTAAGAAGGGTGGCACAAAAATAAAGTTGTGACTACATAGTGATACACTGAGTGAGAGAAATAAATCAAATTGCACAAAGTTAGTAATAGTTAAATTTAGATGGAGAATGTATGTTTGTCATGCCATAATTTATAACTTTTCTCTGAATACAAAGATTTTCAACATAAGAATATGGGGGAAAAGTGAACTTAAAAATGGGAAAAAATTAATTATATAAATTAGGTACTCAAATATTTACATTATTTTGCAGTGTTTTTGTGCATCTTTCCTAAATGAAATGAAGAAAAAATCTTTAATCAGAGCTTTATGAAGAAAAAATCTTTAATCAGAGCTTTATAAAGATTTTAAAATATTAAATGTGTAGTGTTTTCCTGGGTCAGCAGTGGCATGTGATTCTATGTGGTGGAGGTTTGGTTCTTTATTCAAAAGCTTCCTGTTCTGTACATACAATGAAATGGGATTTCTTTAATAATTGGCTCAGTTAGGGTAGGTGTAGACGCTTGATGCGTGTTTCACTTTAGAGGTACTGTCATCTAGTGTAAGATCTTTAATTTCAGGGGCCTGCTTCCTCCTTTCACTTTATCTTCCTGCCCCCAAAGATGCCTTCATTTTCCGAAGGGCCTCCCTCCCCTTGTCAAGCAGTTCCTTCTTAAGGCTGCCATCTCTCGTCCTGTTGGACCCTTGGTGCCATTGCTCTGTCTCATCAGATCTCAGACCTAATGTTACTATGGTAATTGTTTTGGAGCTTCACGAACTGTATCCATATAAAACAGCAAACTTCATTCCTAAGCGTTGTGTATGTTCAAACTGCTCCATCCATAGCTGTTCCTCTGTGTCTCTCATTCTCCTTAGGCCTCTCTCCTCCCTGAGATAGAACAATGTTGAAATCAGGCCAGTTATTAACCCTACAATTTCCTCTAAGTGTTTAAATGAAAGGAGGGGTCACACATCTCTCATTTTCAATGAAAAGCTAGAAATCATTAGGCTCAGTGAGCAAGGCATGCCAAAAGCTGAGATAGGCCAAAAGTCAGGCCTTTTGTGCCATAGAATTAGCAAAATTGTAAGTGGAGAGAAAAAGTTCTTGAAGGAAACTAAATGCGCTTACTCCCATGAACACAGCATGATAAGAAAGCGAAGCAACCTTATTGCTGAGATGGAGAAAGTTTTAGTGGTCTGGATAGAAGATCGAAGCAGCCACAAAATTCCCTTAAGCAAAGCCTAATTCAGACCAAGGCCCTAATTCTCTTCAATTCTGTGAAGGCCGAGAGAGGTGAGGAAGCTGCAGAAGCAAAGTTTCAAGCTAGCAGAGGTTGCCTCGTGGGAAACTAAGGAACTAATATGAGGAAAAAGGCACGTCTGTTACGTAAAAGTGCAAGGTACGCCAGCAAGTGCTGGCATAGAAGCTGTGGCAAGTGATCCAGACGATCTAACTAAGATCACTAGTAAAAGTGGCTACACTAAACAACTTATTTTCAAAACAGCCTTTTTGTAGGAAGAAGATGCCATCTAGGACTTTCATAGCTAGAGAGAAGTCAATGCCGAACTTCAAAGCTTCAAAGGACTGACTTCTCTTTTCTAATAGAGCAAGTGACTTTAGGTCGAAGCTAATACTCGTTTACCATTCCAAAAATCCTTAAGAATTATGCTAAATCTACTCTGCTGATACTGTAGAAATGGAACAACAAATCCTGGATGACAGCACATCTGTTTACAACATGCTTTACTGAATATTTTAAGCCTACTATTGAGACCTACTGCTCAGATAAAAAGAGTCCTTCTTTCAAAAGATTACTACTGGATTGACAGTGCACCTGATTACGCAAGAGGTCTGATGGAGATGCTCAGCAAGACTAATACTGTTTCCATGCCTGCTGACACCACATCCCTTCTGCAGCCCATGGAGTAATTTCAACTTTCAAGTCTTATTCTTGAGGAAATACATTTCATAAGGTTACAGCTACCATAGCAAGCGATTCCTCTGATAGATCTGGACAAGGTAAGGGGGAAACCTTTTGGAAAGGATTCACCATTCTAGATAACACAGAGAATATTGATGATTCATAGGATTAAATATCAACATGAACGGGAGTTTGGAAGAAGTTATGCATGTCCAGCCCTCATGCATGACTTTCAGGGGATCAAGACTTCAGTGGAGAAAGTAACTGCAGATGTGGTGCAAAGAGCATGATATTGAAATTACCAGTGGAGCCTAAGGGTGTGCCTGAACTGCTGCTATCTCATGATAACACTTTAATGGATGAGGAGCTGCTTCTTAGAGATGAACAAAGAAGTGATTTCTTGAGAAGGAATCTACTCCTGGTGAAGATACAATGAAAATTGTTGAAATGACAATAGGAGTTAGAATGATACATAACCTTAGTCGGTAAAGCAGTGGCAGGGTTTGAGAGGATTGGCTCCAGTTTGAAAGAAGTTCTACCGTGGGTAAAATGCCATCAGCAGCATTGGGTGTTAAGGGAAAATCCTTCATGAAAGGAAGATTCAACTGATCTGGCAAACTTCATTGTTGTTTTAAGAAATTGCCACAGCTACCCAATCTTCAGCTACCACCATCCTGGTCAGTCAGTAGCCATCAACATTGAGGCAATGCCTCCCACCAGCAAAAAGATACAACTTGCTGGAAACAGACATGATATTTAGCACTTTTTAGCCATAAAGTATATTTTAATTAAAGCACATACATTGTTTTCTAGACATAATGTTAACACTTAATAGACTACCATATAGTGTAAACATAAATTTTATATGCTCTGAAAAACTGAAAAATTCATTCGACTATTGCAATATTTGCTTTATTGCAGAGCTGAACCTGAAATACCTCTGAGGTTTGCCTATAAACAGTTCATTACCTTACCCTTCACTTAATGTATTTTGATGATCTTTCTATATCAACACATAGAATATTGCCTTATTCTTTTTAATGATTTTAAGGTATTTCATAAGCTATTTTATTTAGTCCTAAAATTCTTAGGTTAATATTTTCTTAAAGCAATAGTACTCTTCTCTCAGTAAGCCAATATTAGTAAACAGATGGTGAGTTCAGTGTAGAGTTTTGAGGAGCACAAAATATGGCACAAGCAATTGTCCTTGTTTTCTAATCCTCAAAGATGAGTTTCAGAATAGTGTAGTAAGTGCTGTAGGACAAAATATAGCTATGAAAAGCCCGTGGCTCAGTCTGTGGTGGGGATGGAAGGAGAAGCTTATGTTCCCAGTGTGGTGATACCCACTGTGTCCTGAACAATGAGTAGAAGTTAGTCAGACAAAGAAGTGGTGAGGGTGTTGCAGACAGAATAAACAAAGGCATGGGGTGGTAAGTGTTGAAAATCACGTTTCCTTCTCTTTGCCTGTCAGAGTCACTGTTTCTTTGTTACCTTCTTTTCTCCCATCCTATTCTTCCAAGTAGCTTTCTCAGACAAATACTGATAATCCTAATCTTTCAGTGGGTAGAAAGGGCAATTTTTAGAGTAAACGAGGTCTCCATTTTCTCTTTTCAGTTTACCCTATAGTTCATTTCCCCAATCTCTCCTTTTATTTAGTATTCAGTCATTCATAAAATAGGTTTTGAATCTTCTCAGAAAATGAGTTGAACAAAATAACTCTAAATTTTCCCTCTGGAAAGGGAAGCCTCCCAGCCAACAGAGTCTCTAGTATCAGGCTTGGATCCTGCCTGGGTAAAGGCAGTTGAGCCTCCTCATCTCCGGAATGAAAGCTGCCATTCATCGTTCACTGAGTTGATAAGACATTTTTGGCTTCAGGATTCAGACAAGAAAAAGTGTTGGAAAAGTTTGTTAAAACAGTGACTGGCAGCTACAAAGTCTGATTTTCCTTCTGACAGGCCGTCTGTTCATAGAAAGGCCTTCCTGTCGAAAATTTCTTAGCCATTGATAATCGTTGAGATCATCAGGCAAATAGTACTAGGTTTAAGTGATAAAAGGTAACAGTAATACCTTAGTGTTATTTGCTTTCCTCATCCATATTTGAAAAGAACAGAGAGTTGGGAGTTTCACTTGTCAGGAAAATG